AAAGCCAATCACCGTCTGAACTCTGTGGACACAAAAGAGCCGTCACAGCTCTCACCTCCAATCTGCGTCCTCCAAGAAAGGAAAATACAGGAGTTAAAATGACTAGAACAATGATCTTCCTTTGAGTAAACAGCTGCCATCATCACACTGGAAATCTTTCAGTTTTTTGTCAACTAAAATATTTTGTCAAAGCTTTATTGACAAAAAAGATCACACCCCAGATATTTTTACCAACTGAAGATGCTGAAAATCAATCTGAAAAACTTGACATAGTTCCATTTTTCAATCCCAGGTCGCTGTGTGTTCTTGAAGCTATTCATCACATTAATTGATACATTTGATCAATTGTGTTCGATTAGCATGATTTTGTATTTTGATCTCTAAAAGATAACTTTTGAGCACTTGATCAAGAAAGTTTCCATGTATTTTTATAGTATTTTTAATATGTATGTGTTTTAATCTTCTGTTCCCTGTCAATGGTTTTCCGATGTGTTTTTCTGTCTTTAGTGTTTTCTTGAGTATTGGACACAGGGTGTAGCCCGGTGTTAATGAACATTTGAGCTGTGTTCATTTTCACAAACATTGTGAGAATTCAGCTTGCATTGGGTACTGTCCTACAAATATCACCATGTATTTTTAATTCCAATTGTGATCATTTAGATGAAGCACATTATTCCTTACAAGCAAAGTTACAGGATGCCTTTGAAAACGTCACAAGGTTCCAAACAAACATAACAGCACACACACACACACACACACACACACACACATACACACATACACACACGTTAATTTCTTAAAGTTCTCCATATTCTTATTGTTTGTGAACTACAAACTATAAACATAATTTTAGCCCAATATATAGATTTCAAATGAACTATTACCACAAAAGACTTATTTGAATATGAGGAATGTGTCAGGAGGTCTTTCGGTTGTTCGAAATCAACAAATTGTATGTTTGAAAAGAGCGGTTTTCTTTCTAAATGCCATTGAACAGGTCTTAAAGTGTTACAATTTTAAGCTCTATGGCCCAAACATGCACATTTAGAAGATTACCCAGATCTTAATAAACATCCTTCCAAAAACCCCTTGCACCCCTCCAGAAAATGCCCATTCCAAATAGACACGCCTAAATCTCATTGTTGGCCAAATCCTGTTCTAAAAGCAAAGTGTTACTCCACATTCAAACTCATGGAGATTTCCTTTAAGCCAATACGCTCCTCACACAGGTTTTCATCGGCGTAAATCCGCGTTGTCTACTGCGATTGGCTGAAAAGCGAAAGGGCCGATCTTTTCACACGGCCCCCTCCTTCGTGCCAGTGTTCAGCCGTCACTGAACAATAGCTGGTTACTGGCAATTAAACAGTATTTTCCCAAGAATCTGGCGCCCATAATGGCATTACGGTGGCAAAATCCAAAGCGCAGTGGCCCCGACAGGAGTTTGCCTCTCAGCAGGAAAAAACAGCTTCATCGAATTAAACGTATTACATAGATTTAGTCCAAGCGCTTATGATTCAAGGATAGCAGATTAGAGGCTTCTAAAGGGCCCGGCAGAAAGGAGCGGACGGCCCAAAGAAAAGATGGCGTCCGCGGCGAGTCTGGGCACGCGGCTGCAAAAGAGCAACCGCCTGATTTAGTGCCATGTGTTGCGTCTAGGGCTGTAATTAGCAGTTTTTTTGATGATCGATTAGTTGCTTGGATCAGTTTTATACATTTGACCAAAACAAAGCACAAGTGATTTGTTACATTAACTTTTATTGATCTTTATCTCACCGGGAAAGTGCCACAAACTCTTTTTCAAAAGAGTTCTAGTGTCAGAGGGGGCGGGAGTGTGCGCTTTTTTAGTGTGAGGAGGAACCTGGAGGACACATGCACAGACACCGGCAGAACATGCAAACTCCAGACAGAACGGCCTGGAGGTGGAACCAAAACTAACCACTGAGCCACCACATTCAGATTGAGATTGAGTGAGATTACAAATACTCTTCATTTCATCCTACCGTCATTATTGAACGATCCAGTCATAGTCAAAAAACGTTTAAGTAAATGCAAGCATCAAAAAACTCTGACACGAAAAGTTTATTTGTATAGCACAGTAACTACACAAGACTAAAAACAAGAAAGGAAACATAAAAATTATACACTATTTCAATAATTGATTAGTTGTGATATAATGAGCAACTTGAGCAATGAGCTACAGCCCGAGTTATATCATCTGAGGGAAGGTTGCTGTGGTTTACTAAAGTGCCAATACATTGATGAATAAGCGATTTCTTTGAAAATGTGCTCAAGACAAATCAATTATTCCCAAAGAACACCAAAAAAAGCTTATTATTCCCTGAACTTGGATCACAATGCAGATTACGACATGAAAAGATTTGTCGTAAATTGCACCTTCAGAATGTAAATCTTTTGACTGTTTACACACGTGTATTTTTTTATTTGTATGTTTGTTCTATTGTTCGGCTAATAACCAACATATACTGTATATGAGCTCAACACTGATTTTGGGCTAATGTGTCAAACAACTGCCTTCAACCCACCCGAGGCCGTTTTCTATGCTGTTGCTTTCATGTGGGTCAGATGAAGAAAGTTAAAAAACACCACAAAAATCACACGAGGGACAATACTTTACATAATGACAGCGTTACCAGCCGTTAACAAGAGTGAAGATCTTAGCATCAAACTTTGGGCTGATGGTGACATGAAGTTTTCCTTTTCAAAAATATGTTTGAAAATGTTTATTTTGCTCCATCTTGATGATAAACTAGTCATGGTCCATTAAAATGTGATTCTCTCTGGTCCTGGGTGCACTGCACTGTCACAGTTTAGTTGTGATACTTTTTATTTTGTTTGACATGTTCCTGCTTGTGCATGTTGAGAAGCTGACACAGGGTCCAAACAACACACCAACCTTTCCCTCAGTTGTCTCTGGTGTACATGACATTTCAACAGTGGGATTTCTTCAATAGCTGACTTCTATTTTACTCTTGGGATGAAGGTTTACCTCATGTGTTGACATAAAATGACCCGTTAATGTCTTGTACCCCTTTAACCACATCCTCCTGTATGCAGCAGTACAGTCACTATAGTATGTGTCATATCTCTGAATCACCAGTGTTCCTTCGTGCACAGAAACAAAGCCATCCTGCACATTGCGCCCTTTAACATTGGGCTGCAGAAAGCAGGAAGTGCAGCCAAGTCCATTATCTCACAATGAAGTGCTAATTATGGGCCCACACTGCGGCCTCAAATCGCACCGCTGCAGAACCTGTCCTTTTCTTAATTACTCTGTTATTTTTCAGTTTTTTACAGTTTTGCGCTGAAGCCGTTCGGTGCTCGTCGGGCGTTTTTGCTCATAAAAGACGGGTGCTAATTGCCTGTTGTAATATTGAGGTTCTTTGAAAAGCGGTGGGTTTGGCTGGACTTTGGTTCTGTTTTTCTGTTTTTGGAAGAATTATGGCAAAATATAAGCAAATGTGTAAATAGTTAAGTAGCATGTATATTGACCTCTCTGCCTGGGATTTTGGTGATATTAAACAAATGTTTATAAGTCAGAAGAAGACTTCTGTCATCATTTCCACTTCACTTCAGCTGTGCTCTGTTCATTGCTATTCACCTTCTGTCCCACTGTCTGGAACCTGGACTCAACCTGGACCTGCGGATCAGTCAGTCCTGGATCTACAGCCTCAGTCTTGGGTCTACAGCCACAGTCCAGGGTCTACAGCCTCAGTCCTGGTTCAACAACATCAGTCCTGGATCTACAGCCTCAGTCCTGGATCTACAGACTCAGTCCTGGATCTACAGCCTCAGTCCTGGTTCAACAACGTCAGTCCTGGATCAACAACGTCTGTCCTGATTCTAGTAAGTAAGTAAGTTTTTATTTATATACCGCCTTTTCACTGCAGATCTGAGTCTCAAAGCGGTTTACAATTGTTAATTTTTTGGGCATTTGTCTCTCACTCCACACAGAGATGGGAGCGGGGTCGCCAGTACAGGAAGCGCATGCCAGAACTATTGGACATATTTTTAGTGGTAGGGGAAACCGGAGTACCCGGAGGAAACCTACGCAGACACGGGGAGAACATGCAAACTCCACTCAGAAAGGCCCTGGTCCGACCGGGATTCGAACCCAGGACCTTCTTGCTGAGAGGCGAGAGTGCTATCCACTCAACCACCGTGCCGCCTGCAGCCTCAGTCCTGGATCTACAGCCTCAGTTCTGGACTCCTCTCTCACTACGGGTTTCTCCGAGGTTTCTCTGGGATAGGGAAGGATTGTCCGACAACACTTCTGAATATATCCATGTATAAAGAAAATTCAGTGAAACGAAGTAAATGGTTTGGGAGGAGCCAGAAGGAGGCGATTGCGTCTTGGCATCAGTAGACGACTCAAACATGCATGAATCGCTCTGAAGACAAGTTTGAGTGTGTATATGGCATGGTAAGTAGTAAGTAAGTAAGTTTTTATTTATATACCGCCTTTTCACTGCAGATCTGAGTCTCAAAGCGGTTTACAATTGTTAATTATGGGCATTTGTCTCTCACTCCACACAGAGATGGGAGCGGGGTCGCCAGTACAGGAGGCACATGCCAGAACTATTGGACATATTTTTAGTGGTAGGGGAAACCGGAGTACCCGGAGGAAACCTACGCAGACACGGGGAGAACATGCAAACTCCACTCAGAAAGGCCCTGGTCCGACCGGGATTCGAACCCAGGACCTTCTTGCTGAGAGGCGAAAGTGCTATCCACTCAGCCACCGTGCCGCCGCAAACCGCATGGGAATACTAATATACTGTACCTTGTGAAATCTGTGGAACATAAAGTGCTAGAGCAGACTGTCAGCCCATAGAAGATTCCTCCACTTTGTGAACTCATTACGGCGCCATGCAATGGGATTCTGATCAAATAATTCAGTGAAAATCAGTTTCTTTCAATCTCATTTGACTTGTCCTTGTGGTGTGCGAAATCTCCATGAGAACTTGGGCGGAAATTGAAAAATGCTCATTGAGAAGCGCGCTTGGCTCCAGCAGCACTTTGTTGAAGGGCGTCTGAGGGAGCGGAGTCTGGGTGCTCGGCGGGGGAGGCGCGGGCTGCAGGTCGGCTGTTCAAAGACTGGCTTCTGCATTGTGGTCAGTCGGGGATTAGGGTCCTGTGTGCAGCAAGAATGGCCCCTCTAATTAAAAAGGATAAAGAGGCTGGAAAAGTAGCAAGAGGCACGGGAGGACGCACGTGCACTGTAGAAAAATATTTAGAGGTGAGGTCAAATGGATTCAAAACCTTCAATAGAGTTGGGATTATGTATTTTGAAATTATTGTTGATTTTTGCCAAGTTGATACATCCAGTATTGTTCTACATTTGAAGCTCCAGTCTTGATAGATAGATAGATACATTTATTGATCCCTGTAGGAGAAATTCAGGTGACCAGTAGCAAAAACTTGTACATCCATACTGTGAGATTTCATAACACTTTTAAGCAACTTTTGTTAAAGTTAAACTCATCATTCTATCAATGTGCAGATGCCAGTACTTTTCCCTTGTTTTGTCTATCTGAAGGCCAAGCTACATGGCACTGTGGCAGCTGCTGATTGGAGGACTCCATGCCTCCGCTCTGTATAATACACTTGCATTCTGTTGTATCTGTGTTCGTGTTGTTCGTGCTGTCTCTACCATCGACAATAAAACATGTCTTCTGTCAGAATGAAAGACGCGATCCCAGACTTTGTCATCTTCTTCAATACAAACACAAGTACATCAAGCCTAAAAGTTTCTAACTAGCTAACAATTGTGTGTTGAACTCAGGTTACTGTGTCTCGAGGTCAGACTGCTGCCCCAACACACAACCCCAAAGAACAAGACACAAGCTACAGACTGCTCTGTGCTACATCTGAGGGCTCACATCCAAAGACCTCAGCCTCCACAGGAAGAAGAGTCTGCTCTACATAGTTTATTTGAATAAAGCTGCTGTACTTAATTCATTTTCTTTCAGAGGAATTTTGTTTTTCCCACAGTCTTGTACATATACATTGGTTGAGCGAGGGCCGTGACTACGACTCCAGAGCTCTGCACGCACCGCAGAGGGATTTTATAATCTTCAAACCATAGCTACATAAACTGATGAGGGCTCGAGGGCCTGAAAGAAGTGGCCAATGCATTATAATTATTAGTATTATAGATCTATGTTGAGATGTTGAATATTTAACATGATTTGCTTATCTTTAAGACTAAATTGTATCCATGTATTTGCCTATTAAACATAGATGTAGATAATAACAATAATAATAATAATAATTACGATAATAATACATCAATACACTCAAAGACGCTTCATAATGAGACTAATTACTTCATTACGTCATTTCATGTTCTAAAATGGAAAATTATTTCTCAAATTATTTTCCACTTGAGAAATTGCCATAACTAATATATGGGCAATAACTTTATTTTAAAAGGCTGAAAACGTATGTCATAATTGTGCAAAGATATCATGCCATTATTGAGAATGAGGGGTCACGTGATAATTTGGGCGGGGTCTAATCCGGTCGGCCATGTTGATAGGATCCTCCATCGGTTGCCAGGGGCAACGCCACTAACGCTAACGCTCCAGAGGTCTTTAAATTGAGCACGTTTATTAGTTCGGCAGTAGATACATCTACGATTACAACACTAGCAAGACAGTTAATGGAGAAAGTGAAGGCGAAAGGAAATGGACCGTACAGGGAAAAGCTTCTACCCACGGCAAAACAACGTTATTTGGAGACTCTCTCAGACATACAACAGGTAGACCCATACGAGCTTCCTGCAGCGGAGTGGCAAAAATACCTTGACTTTTTGCCTCCGTGCACGTACATGGATATAGTCAATTACCTTGTTTTCGGTGTTAGTCATTACACAATGCAGGAGTTTAGAAGTCACAAGTCACTAGAGAGTTACGAGGCTTTCTGCTGTGGTTGGGTGCAGGACATGGCCATCTACAAGCCTCCAGGCGGTGAAAACACCGTTGTACTTGCAAAGGTAAGTTTTCATAACATGCGTTTTTGTGTGCTGTAATTACATTGCATTTAGCACACATTTCTTGACCATAATGACGTGTGTCATTAGATAGTTAGATAGTTAGCTAGGCAGCTAACTTAAGATGCACTTCAGTGTTTGCAACATTAACAGCTAGGTAACCTACACTTCTTAACTTTAAAAAAACAACATGAAGACATTTTAGGACGTACCCGAGTGAAAATGCAGAGAACACACACTCATCGACTGGGGGGTGAGATCGAAAGTAAGGTCCTTTCTTCTTATTGCAGCCAACCAAGCCATCCGGGGTCTCTTCGTCAGGTCAGACACTTGCGCTCCCTGATGTTGTATCCATTTTGGTGGCCTAAAAAATTGTAAACCGTTGTTCCTACGTTTTCCTTTCTTATAGTGTGAGGTACTGGAGCAGTTTTTCACACAGCAATGAGCTCCAGGCATGGTAAAACAGAAATAGCGATGACCTCCTTTGCTACCGAGTTAACGACAACTGTTTGCCGCTGGGTGGGATCCTACCAACATGGCGGAGACGGGGAGGGGCTCTGTGCTATGACGTCAACTCCTCACTCTCAATAGGACTGCAACAGTAGGGGGCGGTGTTTGTGCTTGGAGCTTCTTGATGTCAGCATGGATGGATCTAAAAACAACTCCAGATCTGATTTTGATGAGGGTCTAATGTTGTAACGGCAGCTCGTATTAGCACAATATGTCTCCTTTAAATCTATACGGGATTAAAGAACACATCACACATACTGCCTTCATCACTAGAACTTGTTACAGTAGCTTGTTCTTTTCTTTTTGCAGTGCAGAGTTTGAGCAGACATGAAGAAAAGAGGAGGAATGGTGTTGTCAGAGTCAGAGCTGCAGCCGCTGGTGGATTGTGAGAGGATTAACTTTACTCCGCCTTCGTTCCATTCACTTTTCCTCTAGACACTTTTGTTCTCTGAGTGAATGTGCCTGTGCCCCAGTTCTTCCAACGCTGCGGCCCCAAACTGCAGCTGAAGCATTTCAAAAGTCCACAGTAATAAACTCGTGGCTATTGTCGGGTTTGAAGGAGGAAAAGTGCAGTTGTTTTGGTTTTTATCCTCATTTAATGTTCAGTCATTTGTTTTGCTTAAAGGCACTGTACGTATTATGCACAATGAGTGGTTTAATAAACTTTGATTTCCTGAATATTCCTGCCTTTGACACATGTCGTTTCTGAGCACTAATTACTGATGCAATCTATGCGCTGGGGTAGAAACGGTACAAATGGTATTGTATATGACTACTTATAATTGGATCTCATTTAAACAAATGTGTGGTGCATTGTTTGTGATTGTTTTTGTTGTTGTGATGCCCGCACAGACATTTTTTTTATCTCCAGCTCCTCTCTGAGCCCTTGTTATTTCTCAAGGTTTTTTCAAGTGGGGGCGGGTCCTGGCTCAAAAATGGCCAAAATGACGTACGCTGACACGCTTGCAATACCACACCAGGCAGATGGCGGTGGACTCGGAATAAGAAAGATTCAATGCTAATGTATGAATCTTCTCACCTCTTGAAAACGGCTTCACAGGATGGTCCAAAAGTCGGCTCCTGGCCCAATGCTACGGTCCACGTGTGTGTCAATGCAGAGGGGAGTGATTATTTTTGGACCAGTCTAGTTTAGTCGTTGTGAAATTTTGAAGGCACTCGTCAAATGAATGGGGGTAGTGCCGGCTGACGCATGCGCAGATGCATTTTTTCACGTTGTTCAGCCCCCGCAGCCATTTTGAAACTGCCCATAGAAGGCAAAAGGGATGGCATATTAGTTTTAAAAGGCGGAGATGGGCATGACTACGTCCGTTAATATTTACCGTCTATGTTTTTTTCCTGATGTTGCCATCGCTTGGAATTGCCACGTCCACCACCATGGCTTTCTTCTGCCATTTGTCTACCACCATGATGTCAGGTTGGTTCGCCATTACCATTCGGTCGGTCTGAATCTGGAAGTCCCACAAGATCTCATTCTTCATCACCTTTGAAGGAGTTTCCCATTAAGACCTTGGGGTTTCAGCCCATACTATGCACATATGATTCTGTACACTATACCACCCACTTGGTTATGGTGTTCCATGTAGGCATGAACACAATCTGTTGGATGTCGACTGGCCCCTCAGTGGTCAGACTGGTTTGGAAGTAACACTGTATAGAGTCAATTATTTTCATTCTTATGCTTAGTAAACTTACTGATTGAGTCACATGTATCAGATTCAGATTCAGTTTATTTGCCATTTGCAGTAAAAAAAAAACACATAGGAATACATTAGCAAAAGTCACCAGTGTGCACAAACAAATACAGACATAAAACAACATTAAAAGACAAAAATAAAACAAATAAAACAGAAAACAAATGTCACTGTGAAATCGATCGACTAAAACAGTTTCAAAACAAGTGCAAATCATTAAAGTGTTGTATTTGTGTATAGTTACACCATCAAAACTTTAAGAAGACAAAGCTGAACAATTATAAAATATAGTGGCAAGGCAATGTCAAAACAGCAACAGATCTGCTCTCATGCGGTGAGATACTAATAATTGTCATTTCCAATCCACAATGATGCGTCGATGGCTGGTGTGGACACCGTTTTCTTTTGGCTTATCCTGCATGGACACAGGAGCAGCTTAGAGCCTCATATTTGACCACTGTCAGAATGAGAATGGGGCCTGTGTGTGCTGCGGCTTGACTCCAGATTCTGCTGTCGGCAGGTGGGCTGTTTGCAGTGGGGAGGCCAGCTTGTGTTTTTGTTCGGCCCTCCTCCCACCCCTCCCCTGGCCTGGCGGGGGGTCCAGCAGGGTCCAAGGCTCCCGGGGCAGTCACTGGAAGCCCCATGCCCAGGTAAGGAGGCCTCCGTTTGGGTAACACTGGCTGCAAACGGCGGGAGGCTAACGAGGAAGCAGCAGGGACATGATACAAGGTCCGCCCTGTGGAAACTTACCAGTGGAAGATGAGAGAATACAGATGTGGAGAGATGTCTCTAAACTATACTTCTAACCTTCCTCACTTCAAAGTATTGTCAAAAAGTAACAGAGACTTGAAGCGCACTTACCTATGGGCCTTTATTCCAGTCGTGTTAGTTGTTACAAAGTTCTTACTGAGTTTCTGCAGAGTTTTTTCAGACAGAATGAAAAGAGGGCATGCATTATACATGTTACAGAGATTCCAACTCACAGGTGTTCAAATCCCAACAACAGAGAAAAGTCGCCATGACCGGATCACTTGAATGTTATGTCTGCGTTTGTCTTTTTGTGAAGACCATTTCTCAAAGTATACTATAAGTTATCTACTTAAATTGGCTTGAACATTGGAATATTTGGTCATGTTTACAACCACAAACATAAGACCACAACAAAATAACAGACAGCTGTGAAGTGAAAGCAAAATGATACAGGATTTTGTTCAAATAAATATTAAAAATATTATACTGTGCTGTGGACAACCTTAAAATATACTTTCTTTGAATTTTGTATGTGTACAGATTATTAATGTCTAACGTAGTGTTTGTTGGTATCCTGATAGACCTGTATGTATTTTTTATCTTTTTTCATGAATATATATACATAAAAATAATATTATAGATATTTAAAACTGAAAAGAATGAACTCCAGCAACTTGATCAAACATCTGAAAACTCACCAACACACAGAGTATAGCACCTTTGCTAGCACCGGAGCTAATTCTTTGTACAATTTTTATGAGTGGAATAAGATCGTGGCTCTTATTGTTGACTGTTAAAACAATTGCCAAAATGTTTAATTGTTAAAGCATTTTCTTGTTGTTGAAATTCAGTCGTATTAGTTTATTGAATTCCCAGAGATACCACAATGCAGTGCTCGGTATCGGCAAGTTCTCAATTTAAGGTTATCATACAGTATGGGTATATTTTGAAAGCAGCTCAACATAAGTCAATGTGAAAAGTTGCTTATGTCCCACAGAGGGTCCCACAGAGGGTCCCACAGAGGGCCCCACAGAGGGTCCCACAGAGGGTCCCACTGTCACATGAAGCTAATTGATTACATCTCAGGCGGGGCTCGATCTGCTGCTGCTGTATACTCATGGTTCAGAAAGGCTCTTTGTCTCTCATACCTGTAGCATAAACGCTCCTGGATTATTGGAAACACCAGTTCAATGCCAAAGACGCAGCTGCTGTTCAATAAATCTATCGCTGACCACTGACTGCGCTTGGGGCAGATGGGACTGGAATCCTGCAGTTCAATACTTGTGTATCTGGACTGTGTTCGTGGCAGATGGTGGAGGAGCCTCATGCACCAACTAAACCTGCTACAGTTACTGCATGTACTGTACATTATTAAACTTTTTCTTATTTCTGTTATAGTATGATATTGTACTGAATGGGTGAAAGGAGATAGACACTTAGTCGGCAGCTAGTGGTATCAAGTAGAAAGTAATCTTTATGTATATACCGCCTTTCACAGACCAGAGTCACAAAGCGGTTTACAATTGTGGGCATTTGTCTCTCACTCCACACAGAGATGGGAGCGGGGTCGCCAGTAAAGGAGGCGCATACCAGACCTATTATACATGTTTTTAGTGGTAGGGGAAACCGGAGTACCTGGAGGAAACCTACGCAGACACGGGAGAACATGTAAAATCCACACAGAAAGGCCCTTTTCCGACCGGGTTTCGAATCCAGGACCTTCTTGCTGAGAAGCGAGAGTGTTATCCACTCAGCCACCGTGCCGCCCAACTAGTATTAGTAGTAGTACTAATACTACTACTACTGTCTTACATTTATTCAACAGGTCAGTTACAGGATGCACAATTAATGAAAATTCAGATTTTTCCATGGGATCATCTCCACGGGAAAGCAGGCTGTTGGAATGACTCAAACATGAGAGGAGCGGTGTCCTGTCTGTTTGCAGTGTGGGAATGAGCCTCATGTCATTTTTCATGTCATGTTGCACCTTTTATAGAACCGCCAAAATAGATCTCAAAGGGTTCCGCAATTCCTTCAGCTTTGGCCTGCGCTGAATAAGTGGGCAGGGCCGTGACTGTGCAGATTGTCCCGGGGGCAGAGAGGAGGAGTCTTCACCTTTTGCTCTGTTCTGCTGTAAACACTCCCTGGGGCGGTCACATATTTGTAGATGAATTATGAATGAGAGCAGAAGAGCATGTGTACAGACCCCTGCTCTGGGACCACTTATGCTCTGATGGCCTGTTTGTTTCAGTGCTCTCCAGAGGGAATATTCACACTCACAGTATTAGTGCAAATGAGAGAGCTCATTTGGCCTATAATTGGCACCATTCTAAACACTCCCAAGCACATGCATGGGCCATGTCATTTGTCATTTTTTTTAGTATCTATATGTATTAACTATGGATGTGATTAAAAAATAGACCACTGGTATTATATTACTATATTTTCATTCTCATTATTAATAGATTTTGTTTGTCACAACAGAAGGATTCTTGTAAAAGAAAAAATAAACAAATCATGCTGTCTTCATCTTAGAAAACACATTATTGGCATACTTGTAAAAAACAGCCCTGTGAGTAAACTTGAAGCCTTGGCTGACAGAAAAGGGGCTCCTCTCTTTTTCTTTTTTCTATCTGAAAAAGTTGATCAGAGTCCAAGAACACATGCATCTGAAAACTAGAGACAGAACCAAACCGTTTTGCAGGTGAAATTTGTGGATTATTACATGGTTAATATGTTTGTGATTTGATAAATGGTATACCTTTGCTTTGGTTTATTTTGATATTAATTGAACGTTTGAATTTAAGACACATTAATTTAGTTTAATAGATGTGTATGACGTATAAAAAGCTCACTATAAGTTGTCGTTGCATCATTGGCAAATCCTGAGACCTAAGAAAACAAGTTGCGGACCATTTTTCCTCAGGGTGCGTGGTTTGGACATGCCCTTAACCTCCCCATTGTCTACTCATTTTAAACTGACTTTTCAAGCCAATGAATATGATATAGCTGGCTGATAATTAGGGCATTTTGCTGTATCGATTTAAAGCCAGTTTACGGGAGTGGCGCAGTCTGCTCGTCTGGCATGAACACTCTAATTAGTTCTGTTATAGGAGTTTAATCACGGCGGCTGAGCACGTCTGTAATCAACACGACTCTTCCGTTTATACAGTTTAATTTTGCGCACGGACAACGCCTGGCGACATGAGCACAGACGTCAAGAAGATAAAAAAAACAAGCAAGGAAAAGCCCCTATAACGGACGCTATAACGCTAAAATTGTCTTTGTTAGTTGTTATTATAGTCATTATGTCACTCTTAATGGTATTTCGAGAGTATAGGAACCAAAGAAGTCGGCTGTAAAAAACGTTATACTTCAACATATACAACCCATTATAACAAGCCGCACGCCAATACCGTGTTTTTTCCAAACCCGCGCATACACCGATACCTAACTTAACTTTTATATACAGTATCTATCTATCTTTCTATCTTTTGTATACTTGTAATAACTGCAGTCCCCTGAGTCACTTGACTGAGTGACTGGTCTGAATTGGCTGAGTGAGGGTCTTCTCTGTTTCATCAACAAATTTCAGCAGGTTAAAAATGATTTGTTATTTTTATAAATCATTTCTTGTGTGGGTTGAAAGCTTTTGGTACACACCCGCTTTTAATGAAATAGTTATTACCAAGGCTATTTCAGATTATTTCCCATCGCACCAATTGATGACATAGACAGATTTGCCTCTCGGTCACCCCATCTTCCCCATGAAACCACAATTTCTTCTTTCCATAATCATCCATTCCATTCATACACTGCCTGTCAAAATGCTGCCTATTTCTATTGGCTATACAGAAATCCTCGCCCCTGTCTCTCTCTCCTCTCTCTCTCGGCCTCTCTCCCTCTTTCCTCTTTCCATAACATTTGCGGGGCTTTTCTTTAGTAGCGCATTATCCGAATCAAACAGGCTTAAACCCGAGCAAGGGACCTAATCAAAGCAGCTTCGGCGTTTAAAAAGTAAGTTAATCTTTATTTGCCACCGTTGTATTTCATTGGGTTGTTTGTTATAGAGAGAGAGAGGCCTATGCGCGTGTGTGGTAGTATAGCTTTACGCACGGGGCGATAATTGAGAAGGCGTGGACCTTGTGTGTGTTTGTGTGTATGTGCGTGTGTGTGTGAATGTATGTGTGTTTGTGCGCGTGCGTGTGAGATCCTTGTGAGTCTCAGAAGTTCAAGAAAGAATAGAGCGGGTCATCCATGCATTCAAGAGATTACGAGGCCAGGAGAGCAGACCAACTTCAGATTAACTTTCAATGAGCCGAGATTCGAACATGACTTGTAAAGGGGGGGATTTATAATTGGTCATTCTTTCATTCACTTTGATGTGGCTAAAAAAAATCAACTCCTGATTGTCTGGCCCCTTCACGGACCGCTTCTAACTTTGAAAAGTTTCGCAATTTGTCATGGATAACTCAGATGGAAAATATGAAACCCCAAAAATAAGTGATAATACAGTTTTTATTTAGTTGTTTTTTACATGAAGATACAATGTGAAGTGTTGCTATCTTTTTTGAATGGCATGCTGTAAGGAAAACCTACTGGCATTGTAAATATATTAGATCACATCCTTAATCCTAATTGATTCTGAAGGGAAAACTTGGAAACTTGAAAATACATGCAATAATAAATCCTAAAAACAAAAAAAAAATTACTTGGTAGTTGTTGTTGCTGTCGTCATAATCGTATAGTAGCAGAAGCATATAATAATAATAATAATTATTATTATTCCAGTAATCTATCCATCCATTTTCTGCCCCTTAATCCATTTGGGGGTTGGCAAGAGATGCCACCCAAGTCACATATAGCACCACAATAATGATAATAATAATGATAATAATACTAATAATAATAATACTAATAATGACACCAACAAAAACAACAAAAACAACAATACTACTACTACTAATAATAATAATGATAATAATAATAATAACAATAATAATGATGATAATAATAATAACACCAACAAAAACAACAACAACAGTACTACTACTACTAATGATAACAATAATGGTGGAAAGTGAGTTGTCAGTTGTGATGGGGGGTGGGGGGTATGTCTGGCTCTCAGCTGGGCTCGCGGACACAATGCTAGGCTTTGTTTTATTTTCGTGACGCAGAAAATTGAGGCGGGCCGCCCAAAAGCATGGCGTCCAGTAATCAGGCCAACGCGTGCCGAGCGGATTATCTCGTTAATTTCTTACTGAAATAAGGAAAAACTCGAGTAGCCAATAATAAGTAACCCCCCCAAACCTATATAGGTGATGTGTCTGCATGAAGGAAGGGACAGATTGGGTTTAGGAGTGGCAGTTAATACGTGCGTTATAAAGTACGATTTTCCAGAACTTGGCACATGTTGAATGGATTAGCCCAAAACGCAATTCAGATTCAGATTCATGTATTTGCCATTTGCTGTAAAACCACATTGGAATACATTTGTACATAAATAACACAATGTACAATTATAAAACTATTATGAAAAGTTATCATTATGTAAATAATGGAAAGTGAATGAAAAACGTATCCACAGGTTGTTGGCAGAGCTTAATAAAACAAGCAACTTTGTTTTAAATGTGCTTTAATTACAAGGCACAAGACATGTGTTTTTGTATTGTATTAGCTAACCACTCCTTCATTACTTTTAAACAAACACACATTCAAAACAACGTATTGCCTTGAGGCGAATTCAAGGTTTTACGCACATAAAATGTCTTATACATACTTTTGGCTATAACCATTTTTAGAAATAGTTTTGAGACGCACAGAATAAAAGCACATACATTATTATGATTGGGCTGTACTGTTTTCTTTAGAGCCCCGTGTCTTTGGCTAATTATCTGAATACACTCCTCTTTAGCTGCAACAACAGGTTGAATCGATAACCGCTGAACCAACGTTACAACTCCATTACCTGTCCACAAGCAGTGCGCAATCTCTTTGTTTATTTAGATTAAGATTAAGTGGCCTTTCCTAATCAACACATTTGGGATAGTCTCACCTCCCCAAATCTAATTACCCAGAGCGATTCATTAAGACGGGAGGAGGGGAAGACGAGTGGTACATATACAGGCCTATATGACGTGGCGAAACTTTTTTACGCGCTCGTTTCTCGTCCCCCGTGCATTTTAATACATCTGAATGAGTTTTTTAAGGAAACAATAGCCTGCATTAATACAATTGGAGAGTTGTATTTGAATGATGGCTCAGTTTGCAGTAGCGAGCTCATTGTTTGTTCCCCTTTTGTTATCGGCATTAGTTATCGGTCAACAGTGCGCTTTGTCTGTTCAAATGGCCCCCCAATCAGCTGTCTATTTAGCTGCACCTATGGGTATATGCTAATAGCGTCGCTCGGCTGGTGCGCATTTTAACGACAATGTTTTGTTTTGGGTCGAGGAGCAGTAGGCCATGGATAGAGGAGGAGGAGGAGGAGTGTGCAGTGTGGAGGGGGCGAAAAGAGGAGGGGTTACACTATAGTGGCAGTTTGGAGAAGGCTTGGAAAACGAGAGGGGAGGGGTGGCAGCCGTATTTTTTTTTTGCTTGTGTGGAAGCCAGACACAGCTCTCGCGGTGCAGTGAGGGACAGCTGGGGGTCCGGGCTTGGCTTTAAGAGCGCAGCGAAGCCCAAAGGCGCACACTTGTCCAAAGCTTCTCCGTGCGTAAAAGTCGTGTATAAAAGTCAGAGAACATAACTGCCAGCATCACCTGCGCGCGGTTGTAAAGCAATTGAAGACGATTTTCTTTCCTGTTTACCACAGAGGGATACCCGTGTGGATTCGTAGTTTTGAATTGTTTTCTTTTTGGCTCCAATTCAACAGAAGCCAAAAATGATGTCCTATTTAAAACAACCGCCCTACACTGTGAACGGGCTGAGCTTGTCTGCCTCCGGGGTGGATCTGCTGCATCCTTCGGTGGGATATCAAGGTAATTCTTATGTTTACGAATAATAATGCATGTGTTTTAAAACAGTAGTCGATTCAACACCATTACAGTCATTATTGCATGCTGTAAACTCGTTGCAAATAAGTGTTTTGTCTTGATTTCGGACTTATCCAAACATATTTTCAACCTTTTTAGGGACGCCAAGAAAACAGCGACGTGAGAGGACCACGTTCACGCGGGCCCAGCTCGACGTGTTGGAGAGTCTCTTCGGGAAGACCAGATACCCGGACATCTTCATGAGGGAAGAGGTGGCCTTAAAGATCAACCTCCCCGAGTCCAGAGTGCAGGTGAGTCCAAAAACAAATCTCTGTTGTTGGGTCAATCATGTGTCCAATGTAAACGTGTTTTGTTGGACTTGTGTTGCGCAAGACCACGTTCCCAGTGGAATATTTAATGGAGTAATGGATGAGGAGTCTATAGGGACAGAAGGGCCTCATATAAGTGCACAATGCGAGATATCACGATTTTCAAAAGTTTATAGATTTATTCCGACAACAGTATTATTTCTTTTCAAGCCACTACTGACTCACTAATGTATATTAAGTGTACAAATCTAATCACAAAATAATTGAGTACAAATATACAAACAAATCATGGATATATTGTCATAGCAACTGACAGGTTGCGCAATTGTATTCATAACTTCCCAATAAAATTATAAATAGTTTTTTTATATTTTGTTCAAAAGAGTGAAGGTAATTGAACCCAAACCACAATACAAATAATTACTTCTTCTGTATATAGGCCACATAGCAGACACTTTATTTGATATTTTAACTGTAATAGTAATAGTAGTAATACAATTTGATTTTGTATTTTATTGCTACATGTGTCAAAGTCAGCTAGACCTAAATCGTTTCAAATATAGATAAGATAAGATAGGCTTTATAGGTCTCACACTGGAGAAATATACAACAGATCTGCTTGAAGTTGAAATCCTCATCATTTTAACCAATCTCTTTTTTTTCACTCCAGGTTTGGTTCAAAAACAGACGCGCGAAACACCGACAGCAGGCCCAGCAGCAGCAGCAGCAGCCGCAGACGGGCGCGCCGAAACAGGCCCCCAACAGACCGCTGAAAAAGAAGGCCTCCCCGGTGCGCGACTCCACAACGGAGAGCCTCAACAACGGCCAATACTCCCCACCTTCCAGCACTCCCATTACGGCAGTGAGCACCACCAACACGGCCCCAGCAGCGTCCATCTGGAGTCCGGCCTCCATTTCCCCTCTCTCAGACCCGCTCTCCACCTCGTCTTCATCCTGTATGCAGCGCGCGTATCCAATGACGTACACGCAGGCGACCACCGGGTACAACCAGGGGTACAGCGGCTCTTCTTACTTCACCGGGATGGACTGCAGCTCGTATTTATCCCCCATGCATCACCAACTTTCCACGGCGAGTTCCGCGATGAGCCCCATGGGAGGCAGCGGGGTGTCCAGCCACCTCAGCCCGGTGAATACGCTCTCCTCCTCGGCGTACGGAGCGGCTGCAGCGGCGGCGGGACTTGGCTTCACCGGAGCGGATTGTCTGGACTATAAGGACCAGACTTCGACGTCGTGGAAGCTCAATTTCAACGCGGATTGTTTGGATTATAAAGACCAGGGCGCGTGGAAGTTTCAGGTTTTATAATAAGGACTGGACTGGAAACGGTTGGAACATTTGTACAATGCGAAAACAATATTTAGATGAGTTCGTAGTGTGTTGAAATACGCGTGGGTTTTTAAACTTGATTGATATAGGGCCTTTCTGCCAATGGAACAGTCATTTACACTCATTTAAAGCTGGAGAACCTAACTTTCAGAGCATAAAACTAAATTTTGATTCTATCTTTTACTTTGTTAAATCTTTGGATCAACTTTTTCAGACAAAAAAGTGAAAAAATAAATATAGGATGAAGGCATGGGCATCTTGCGGTCAAATTGGCCCACAACATTTTATTTTGTACATGACTCCTTCATACAGGGACAGACATGGATAATTTATTTTTAAAAAAAAAAAGTTAAAAGTTAGGTACCCCAGCTTTAAATATTGTTTTGTGCAATGTCGTGCTGAAAAATTCTACCTCGAGGCAAACTGCGTGTCTCCTATAGTGGCGTTCAACTTATTACTGGAAAATGGACATTGAAATGCTTCCAAACTTTGATCAAAGCCATGTGGACTCAAGGACAAGGCTTCCACAGAGAGACATGAGCCAATTTGAAGTGGATTGTTCTCATTTTAGGCTCGTTTTCTCAAAGTTATTGCATCAAAATGGCCCTTTATGATCAAAGCGTGTGTGTGTGTGTGTGTGTGTGTGAGAGAGAGAGAGAGAGAGAGACATTGGAAAAGCCTTATGTAGCATGGTCGTGAATGCACTATTTAATTTATGGAAACATTAAGACTAGTTATAAAAAAGACAATCAGTCCTTTCATGTATTTCTTTGTAAACATTTTTCATTTTTGACTTATTTTGTAAAACTTTTTTGTGTTAGTTTTCCAGTGTTATTTTTGTGCCTCTGTATGTATGCAATTTTAAACTCACACACAACTGTTCAATAGGTTTTGTCAATGGTAAATTATTATAAATTAGCGGACAAGCGACCACGCAGGTCACAACATCCACAAAACAATAAAAAAGGACTTGAGACTTGATGCGTGTCTAAATTCGCTTCTTTTAACAATAAGGTCATGTTTTTAAATGAACACTATCATTTGATCTCTTTCAGAAGATAATCCCTGGAGATTTTCACTTTGCTCATTTCCAATAGAACAATACCATTGAGTCAATTATATTAAAGAAGTATCACCATGCTCCAGAGAACCAGTGAGACAAAGTCATAATCCGAATCCAATGCCCGGTTAAGGAAAATCTATTGAATAGAAGTTAAAAGCAATGATCACCATCATATAAATTAAAAGGCCAATTTATTGATGTTCCAGCTATAAAAAAAAAAAAAGATATTTTTATATAGTTTGTGACAAATTGGTACAAACAAGTAATAAAAACGGTTTTTTAAAAAGGATATTCGGTAAACACATAACATCCCCATATTGAAGTGCCCATTTCCCCCAAACTCTGCACCTATGGCTCATTTTGCTGAACTGACCATGATGCTGTAAGAATTTATTCCAAATTTTTGGGTTGGTTCAAACAGTTGCTTTCATTTCGATTTTGTATTAGATTTAAATGCAAATAAAACTCGTTGGAAACATGTTTCTTTCAATTGGCATTCACATTCATTCAGCACATTTTAGAATGACACTTTAGACAAAAAATCTATTTCATCAAAACTTAGTTATTGATAGATTTACTGATGGATGGCAGAGTTCAATAGATTGATATAGGCCAAAAAAAAACAAAACAAACAATTGCTCCACCTTGTAAAAGATTATCATAAAAAAATAAAAAACATCAAGCTATTAATGAAATGGAATATGATTGGATCTGGAACGGTGCGCAAAAAACTGCCTTTTTACGCACAATGCGCTGCGCAGACGCATCAGAATCAGCCACACTTGTGCAAATCCCAGAGGACAATAGTTGAGTGTGTTTTGGGGACAGGTCGCGGGTTCGTTATCGGTCTAATTAGATCGAGTCGAGAAACGCGACGTGCGCCTGCAGCAGCAGCGCATTTGTGCAGAGGCCAGAGCGACGTGACCCTCAATTAGCGACGCACGCAGGGTCCTAATCGACCTGGTGCCATAAAGTGGGAAAATAATGTGCAATAGTTGAGTGTCAAATCAACTGTAACCCTTTGATGGTCACTCCTTAAAGAAAGCAATTTCGATTTTCTTTCTAAGCTGTATAATAGCACCCTCTTTTTTTAGTTATAGCTCTGTACACTTTAAACCCGAACAAGTTCAGAATACTTTAGGTTATCACAAATAATTCAGATGCAGTTTCATGGTAAAAGTGCTTGAACCAAGAGTGGCCCCAATGAGGTATTTCAGTTCCAAACTTCAAATAGTGACTCAAGTGATCCACCAAAAGGTTGAGGAAAACATTCAAGGGTTAAAATATTTCATTTATGGCCCATTTCGTAACGTTATGAAATGGGGTTCCCTGAGCAAATGGGTTCATATTCTAATTCCTCATCTCTAAAAGTTCAAGAACATTTGTCAGCAACCATCATCTTTAGTCACCCATATTATTTTCGTTTTTTTCGTTTCACACAAGCCAATATACAAAACAGTTTAAATAACGCAGGGCATGTACCTTCGTGATAAAAAAAAAAAGTTTCTGTATTTTTCATTTTTTTTTTTTTTTTCTGTTCAAAAAGTGTAGTGTAACAGTGTTACTTTTAGTGGGGTGCGTTTTCTTGTCTTTGGTGCTCACAGGTGCACACTTTTTTTCCGCATTTTTTCCAATGTATTTTTGAACAGTAAAGTACTATCTGAGCTATACAAGTTGTCTGACACGCGCGCACCAATTAGGCGTATTGGTTCTAAATCCATCTCAAAGTTTCAGTAAGTCACAACCCCTAAAACCATTATAAGAAGCCACAGATCTTTGCTTTCAACAGGTTTAATATTGTCACTTTGTATAAGCGTGGTCCTGGTGTTGCCATTCGTGTTTAATTAAGCAGCGACACCAGAGCGGACATATGGGCCGCGCAGACGCACTCCACTAATCCCTGGTCGCTTTTGAGGATGTTAAACAATAAAAAGGGCCTCGGAGGTCTGCCCCAGGCCAAAAGAAAAGAGCGCACATTCTGTCGAGCTTTGCCCCGAGGCAGAGCTTTCCCAAGCGGCTTCTCTGCGCGGAGTCCCCGGCGCAGCTTGGGGGATCCACGCAGGGCTTCTCCTGAGCAAAGACCTGAGTAAGATATCACGGATTTAAAGCTGGGGTTCCTGACTTTCAAAAGATAAAGCAACGTGTTTTAGCCCCATTTACAGGCGACAAGACTATTTTTTTTTATTTAAAAAAAAAAGGGGTACTTAACTTTCAGGGCAAATGTCGTCTACTTGGATTCAAAAGATGTTTTTAAGCTGAAGGCAACTTTCAAACCACAAAAAAATCGAATAACGTATTCATCTATTAGTTCCTATCTCTGTCACATTGTCACATCTGTAGATCAGCTTTTTCATTCAGAAAAGTGAAAAAAGAAGACCTTTCAATCTGCTCTCAGCCCAAAGAGTGGAAATAAAGCAAACGTTAACAAGATTTCTATTTTAATGTGGTCTGATTTGGTTTGTTTCTGTGCCAGCAAATTGATTTTTCAAAGAGACACCGGGTTTGGTCATCCTTAGTCATTCTGCAATTTGTCAGAGCCAATAGCCTCAAACGCAGCTTTAGTTTTACTATGAGAAATGTGCAGATTGAAATGAGTCCATGACTCATCAGAGGCCAAACACAAGGCCTCCACCTCACAAAGAGTCCATGTGTGTGGCCTTAAAGTCTACAAAATATTCACTCAAATTGTAATTTTTTTTTTTTACACGTGCTTCAGTTGGTGGAAAATCCAGCCAAGCCACACCAACGAATAACGTTGTTGTTTTTTTGTTTTTTTTTATCCCAATGGATTTACTGTATTGCTGGAAATAGTAAACACCTTTCTCATATTGTCTCATAAATGTATAAATAAAAATGCAGTTCTTCTGCTTTTCTGTTTTTGCTGATATCTTTAGATATTTGTGGCATTTGCAATAAATCTTTAGAGTTTATCTATCTATATATGTAAACAATAGGCCTTTAGAATGAATGGAACATATATAAAGCATAAACCAACTGACAACAGTGCATAGGCTGTTTAATTTAACCAAAATGCCTTATAAATAGGTCTATGAATTAATTACATGCATTTTATATCAACACCAAGCGTCTGCAGCACTGCTCGTGATGTGACACCATTAGGAAAGCAGTTGCACTATTACGCTGCTGGTGGATTATATGAACAAAGTTGTCTTTATAAAAACGCTTTTCGATACATAAACGGACATTTTGTGGGTGAGAATTGAAGCGCAGACTATTGTTATGCATAAGTATGTGGCCTACATTCCCAGGGAGTCTATCACACCAAACAAAACACATACATATTCATAAATGTCAACAATAGCGTCCTGTACTCTGTCAGACTGGCCGTTGAGGACGAGAGAGGAGGTTTAAGTTAATATAAGCCTGATGTGGCTTATTTGGACTTGTATGATTTCACTTTGAGTGGCGCTATACAAATAAAATTGCCTTTCCTATATTTAAAATAGGATCTCCTGCATCTCCTTGCCTTGCAGCCCATTTACATGTATGTGCTTGTACTCAATAAGTGAAGGATAAATCCATATTTGCACTTAGTAATTATTGTTTTCACATTTCCCTTGTGTTTTGGGCTGAAACATATGAACAAAACAATTCAAAATAGGGACAAAGGAAACAAAGATTTCACAGTAATATTCCAGTAGATAAAAAAAAGATTGTAAATGCATTACACTATGCATTATTCAGCAAATAATTGTCCAAGAAATGTGTTAATCATCGAATCATAACATTTGACACATACTGTATCTTGACCATGACAAGACAAATAATTTATTTTTATTTATATATATATATATATACACTGTCCCCAGTGGCGATCGTGGCTCTGTTGGTAGAGCATTGGCCTTTAGGCCAAACGGTCGTGGGTTTGATCTCCCAACAAGACCTGCTCCATCTGCTTCCAATGAAGTCTGCTGTTGATGTGTCCCTGGGCAAGACACTTAACTCCACTTTGCCTGAAGCCTCCGCTGAAAACCAAGGCTGTCATCGCTGACGGAGCAGCCACCTCCCGTGGACTCATCACCTGCAGAGGATCAGCGAGGGACTGGTGCTATGAGCATTGGGTGGCAGCTCTCAGACCCAGGCAGGATTAATAAAGGGGATGTGAATGAATTTTAAAATTTTACAGAAGCCCAATAATGTACTTTTTAATTAAAACTTTCAGATTCAGATTCAGATCAAAAAATGTGAATGAGTGTGAATCACATTATTGCCTGAATTCTCCGCAGCATGTGGGCAGAATCAACGGCTGTGTTTTGAAATGTGAAGCTCTGTTTAAAAGCAGCAGGTGATTGAACAGTCCTGATGAGAAGGACATCAACTTATTAGAAAAAAAAGGTTTTTCCCAACGAGTTACTATTCAATGCTTGGGAGGGTGGTCTTTTTCATGTCTGAAAAGACGATCTAAAGATGTGACAAAGGCCAAAAATATATCCACGAGGAAACTACTGCAGTGATGTTTTTACAGAGTTTCATCTTTGTGGTTTGAAAGTTAGGCACCCAAGTGTCAAGTAGTTTTGACAATTAAGTAATATGCTGTAGAATCTACTGAAATTTTCATCTCACAGAAAAAAACCGCATGTTGTCCCAAAATCCACCCAAAAAAACTAATCCAAAAACACTTATTTGCAGATTACAAACACAACAGCACAAAAAGAGCTACAGCCGATTAAAAAAACCAGCATATGTTCTGAAATAATAGCTTTTATGGCATTAGCTTGAAGGTCTAGTTAATGTTTCTTTTAGCATTTGAGTATTAGAACTCTGGATTAAAAATGGGATGGTAGAAAATCAGCCAACAAAGCACTTGTGGCTTTAAGAGCGAATCTACCATTAGGACGACAGCGATAATCTCCTTATAGGAAAGTAAACAGGAGATGTTGTATTAACAGATTACATGTGTTTAAAGACTGCATTTTACCATCAGCTCAACGTGGCCATAAAAGCATTTGGTGCCAGCAGATTATAAAGTTCATCAGGCATCAATAGGCAACAGGCCAAAATATATTTACGAACCAACACTGGGTCTGACTCTGATAACTGTGAAAAAGTCCATGAAACACGCTCACACTGATGAGAGCGGAGGAGAAAGCACTCTGCTGAAGAACAGGGCAGTCTGCCCTCACAGTAGTTTTCAATCAGGACTTTTATTTTATAAACTCATGGTTTTCAGGTATTCTCTCCAATCACCTTTTGGATCTTCACAGCACTGTGCAGAGGACTCGAGCAGAGGCAGCAAAAACTTCAAAATGTCTGCGTTATTGTTGGCCTTTAAAATGACGATGAGAATATTTACTTTGCCTTTTCATGTTTAGAATGTGATATAATATCTTCAGTAGAAAATGTATGATAATCCTCCCTACGCTGTCCCCAGTGGGAGGAGATGAATTTGCGTAGCTTTTTGTTCAAATTTGAAAATTATCGGCTGCAAACACCACAGGTCGGGTGACAAAGTTAAATGGTCTTTGCAACCAGCAAAACGAGGGACAGGATGATATACGACTTTGTGTCTTCCTTCTGTTCTTGTTTAGTCATGTTGCACAAATTTAATGACAATATTTATGATGTATGAATGTAAAATGATGTCATGGACAAATAAATATATATTAAATATTGTTAAAGACGTGTGATTCTTAAAGAACATAATTTCCAAAACAAATTCAAGAGCAATACGTTAGCTTTAAAAGACTGAAAACTGCTTAAAAAGTATGATGTCATGGTGGTACAGGGACATCACACTCGACAGGAGCTTTAGACAGAAGGGACGGAGTGACATGTTTGTGCCAGAAGTTCCTGATGTTAGCCTGGCAGGATCAACTGGGCCAGTCCCTCGCCCCCTCCTCTTCTGTTCCCGTCAGTGCCACGCGCTTGACCACCTGCTCTGGGATTACAGAGCCATGTGGATTACACGCGTCACAAAGAGCTCACACAAACGTAGCCGGTGTGCGACAGGACGCATTGACGCACACACGATTTACAGGGTCCGAATGATAATCGCTTTGAGCATCTGCAATCTTTCACTGGGAAATAATGGTTTAGTGACAGACATGACAGGCAGGATTAGGGTTATTGTCTCGTTAGCACAAAGCCTGCAATTAAAAGGATATTTACATGACATCAAATGACTTCATATTTGCCCTAATTTGAGTCTAGATTACTTGAAGTTTTCTGTCTCACTTAGAAAGTTGGTAAATTATCTTTATTTATATTGCACCGTTGTATAGCACAGACCAAGTCTGTGCTATACAACGGTGTGTGCTATACACGGCGCCATCTTTACGGCGCATGGCGCCGTGGCAAGAGCTCTGGTGTGTGTCGTCTTCTGGTGCACACCGGGGTAGTCTTGCACAGTTTTCCAATGTGGTTTTACTGCAAATGGCAAATAAATGAATCTCAATCTCAATCTCAATCAAGTGTCACCCAAAGCGCCTTAGTGCAGGATCAGGTCTGGTTTTATCCACAGGACCAGGGTCATGTCTGGTTTAGGCCATAGGACCAAGGTCAGGTCTGGTTTTATCCACAGGACCAAGGTCAAGTCTGGTTTAGGCCGCAGGACCAAGGTCAGGTCTGGTTTAGGCCACAGGACCAAGGTCAGGTCTGGTTTAGGCCACAGGACCAAGGTCAGGTCTGGTTTAGGCCGCAGGACCAAGGTCAGGTCTGGTTTAGGCCACAGGACCAAGGTCAGGTCTGGTTTAGGCCACAGGACCAAGGTCAGGTCTGGTTTAGGCCGCAGGACCAAGGTCAGGTCTGGTTTAGGCCACAGGACCAAGGTCAGGTCTGGTTTAGGCCACAGAACCAGGTTCATGTCTGGTTTAGACCACAGAACCAGGGTCAGGTCTGGTTTAGGCCACAGGACCAAGGTCAGGTCTGGTTTAGGCCGCAGGACCAAGGTTGTGACGGAGCGCCAGTGACTGCTCCGTCAACAGCTGTGTGCTGCTCTCTCCCTGCGCTGAAGAGAGGAGCGCGTCTGAGCGTGCGTGTGGCGCGGCATGCCGGCAGGTCCGCGCTAGTCACCGCACGGCCCTGCATCAACACAAACTCTTCCCCTGCCAATACTATCCCTGTAGCGCATAAGGGTGCACACTTGCTGCCTACACACACATCTCATCTTTCCCCATACACAACTCACCTGCTGCTTGTCTCGGTCCACTGGCCAAACCGAGGCACTTCCTGGTCGCACCATATATAGCGCAGGGCGCGCGCATGTGACGGGCCAGAGGACTCTAATTTCTTAAAGTATTAAAATGTGGGTTTTTTCTATTTGTGCATTGCTATATGGGGCAATGGAGAGGCATGTTCACACTGAGGAACAGGGAGGGAACTATGTGTGGGATTTCGTTGTTTTTCTGTTTAGAAGAAAAACCCCTGTTAATTTATTAATGGGTTAGCCCAGGGGCGGGGCTAACTAGTTAAAAGAGTGCGTGCTCACTCCGGAGGAAGTTCTGTCAGTCTGTGAGTGAGCTGGAGTGAGCTGTACTGAAATTGAACCCAAACTGAGCTGGCTGTAAGTCCTGTCTTTTCTTGTGAGTCTGTTGTTTTTTTTTGCTGCACTGTAAATATTTTCCACTCTGCACTGGTTTGGTGTGAAAATAAAGTCACCACAATTCATTTTTCCGACTGAGCCATCATTATTCCCATCATTTTTAAACGAACCTTCACATTTGGTGTCAGAAGTGGGATGGCTAGTCGGCGTATGAAGACTTTTGCTAAGCGCACAGGACGGCGCTCAGGGAAGCTGGAAACAGTGCAGGATGACCCAGCCTGGGTCACAGACGAGGAGGACGCAGGGGGCGCTATTGCTCATCCCCTTAAACAGCCAAGACCGGGAGAAGCCAGCGCACAGGAGATGCTCGCCATGATGCGGTCTTTCATGGAGGGACAGGAGCGGCACGAAGACCGGTTCCTGGCGGAGCTCAGGGGACTGAAGGACTCGTTTCCAGTACCAGACTGTACCAGGTCACCATCAGAGGGCACAGAAACGAGTATGAGACTGGATCTGCCTACTCCAGCACCTCGCAGACGCCGCAGTTCCGCCGAACCGCAGAGGCCCAGTTTGGGATCCGAGAGGGTGCTGTCCCGACCGGAAAGTTGACCCGCCGGGGACCCAAAGATTCCCCAGTACCTGGCCGGGGAGGACATTGAAAATTACCTCCTCCGGTTCGAGAGGATTGCCAAAACCTGGGGTTGGCCAGAGTGTGAGTGGGCGTGTCGTTTGGTGCCACTACTCTCTGGGAAGGCACTCGAAGCGTACACTGCTATGGACGAGGAGCGGGCTCACACATATTCGGATCTTAAGGACGCTTTGCTCACAAAATTTGACATATCCCAACCAGGACGCTGAAGAGGATGCTGCAGAAATTCGTGGCCGATACCGGACGGGACTGGGACCAGTGGCTACCCTACCTACTCTTCGCCTACCGAGAGGCACCCCAAGCCTCCACCGGTTTCTCCCCGTTCGAGCTGCTCTATGGATGGGATGTCCAGGGTCCGCTAGACCTGCTACTGAAGGCCTGGGAGGCTCCCGCCTCGACCACCAGCGATCGCCATATTGTCCAGTTTGTGTTGGAGATGCGTGATCGGCTGGCCAAGTATCGGGAGGAGGCGGAGGTCAACCTACGCGCTGCCCAGCGGTCCCAGAAGGCGTGGTACGACCAACAGGCCCGACATCGCGAGTTCCAGCCCGGTCAGAAGGTCCTGCTACTCCTGCCATCGTCCAACCACAAGCTTCTGGCGAAGTGGCAGGGGCCATACTCTGTGGTCAGGAAGATGCGCCCTGTGACCTACGAGATCCACCACCCAGAGAAGAGGAAAGCGAAGCAGACCTACCACGTCAATCTGCTGAAGGAGTGGAAAGAGGCGGCAGTTCGAGCTTCCATGGCGTCCCTGCTGGTGACCGAGGTAGACAGTGACGGGGAGGAAGAGTCTACGCTTTCCGACCTCCAGCGGCCTGCTGAACCAGCTCTGGGTCATCTCACCGCCACCCAGTCGACCCAGCTGTGTCAGGTTTTCCAGGGGGTCTCCAAGCTCTTCGCTGCCAGTCCAGGAAGGACTACCCTTGTCGAGCACGTCATCCGGCTGAAAGACAAAGGCCCAGTTCGCCAGAGGTCTTATCGGGTTCCCCAACATCTTGTCGCCCAGCTGTTGACGGAGGTGGAAGATATGCAGCACCTCGGTGTGATCGAGCCATCCCAGGCAGAGTGGTGTAGTCCGGTGGTCATCGTCGTGAAGAAAGACGGGTCGCTCCGCATCTGCATCGACTTCCGGAAGCTCAACGCCATGTCAGAGTTCGACGCCTACCCGATGCCCCGGATAGACGACCTCCTGGAAAAGATTGGCCGGGCCCGGTTCATCACGACCCTCGACCTCTGCAAAGGTTACTGGCAGGTGCCACTAGAAGCGTCCAGTCGTCCCTACACGGCGTTCCAGACCCCTGCTGGCCTCTTCCAGTTCACCATGATGCCATTCGGTCTCCATGGAGCACCCGCCACATTCCAGAGACTGATGGACCGTGTGCTCAGGGGCTGTGAGGACTGCAGTGCTGCGTACCTGGACGACGTGGTCATCTTCAGCGACACCTGGGAACAGCACCTGCGTCATCTGGAGAGAGTCCTCGGCCAGATAGAGCGGGCGGGACTGACACTTAACCCGTCAAAGTGTCAGTGGGCCAAAGAAGAGGCTAAGTATCTCGGCTACCGGCTGGGGCGAGGAGAAGTCCGACCACAGATGGACAAAGTAGAGGCCATCCGCGGCTGTCCACGCCCTCGCACAAAGAAGGAGGTGAGGTCCTTCTTGGGCTTGGCCGGCTGGTATCGTCGGTTCGTCCCACAGTTCGCCACCATCGCAGCTCCACTGACCGCGCTGACGATGAAGGACCAGAGGAACCCGGTTGTCTGGAACGAGGACTGCGAGACAGCCTTCCAGGCCCTCAAGTCCTGCCTCTGCTCATCGCCGGTGCTGCGGAGCCCCGACTTCGAACAGCGGTTCCTGGTCCAGACTGACGCTTCTGCCGTGGGACTAGGAGCAGTCCTGGCTCAAGGGGACCCTGGAGAAGAACGTCCTGTACGGTACCTGAGCCGGAAGCTGCTGCCGCGAGAGACCAGGTACTCTACCGTGGAGAAGGAGGGCCTGGCCATCAAGTGGGCTCTGGAGAGCCTGCGGTACTACCTGCTGGGAAGAGAGTTCGACCTCGAGACGGACCACCGGGCGCTGACTTGGATGAATTCCATGAAGGACCATAACAGTCGTCTCACCCGCTGGTACCTCTCCCTCCAGCCGTTCCAGTTCCAGATCCGCCATCGAGCTGGGAAGACCAATGTCGTGGCAGACTACCTGTCCAGGTTGCCGCACATCGTCAACCTCGAGGAGGAGGGGGATAATGTGACGGAGCGCCAGTGACTGCTCCGTCAACAGCTGTGTGCTGCTCTCTTCCTGCGCTAAAGAGAGGAGCGCGTCTGTGCGTGCGTGTGGCGCGGCATGCTGGCAGGTCCGCGCTAGTCACCGCACGGCCCTGCATCAACACAAACTCTTCCCCTGCCAATACTATCCCTGTAGCGCATAAGGGTGCACACTTGCTGCCTACACACACATCTCATCTTTCCCCATACACAACTCACCTGCTGCTTGTCTCGGTCCACTGGCCAAACCGAGGCACTTCCTGGTCGCACCATATATAGCGCAGGGCGCGCGCATGTGACGGGCCAGAGGACTCTAATTTCTTAAAGTATTAAAATGTGGGTTTTTTCTATTTGTGCATTGCTATATGGGGCAATGGAGAGGCATGTTCACACTGAGGAACAGGGAGGGAACTATGTGTGGGATTTCGTTGTTTTTCTGTTTAGAAGAAAAACCCCTGTTAATTTATTAATGGGTTAGCCCAGGGGCGGGGCTAACTAGTTAAAAGAGTGCGTGCTCACTCCGGAGGAAGTTCTGTCAGTCTGTGAGTGAGCTGGAGTGAGCTGTACTGAAATTGAACCCAAACTGAGCTGGCTGTAAGTCCTGTCTTTTCTTGTGAGTCTGTTGTTTTTTTTTGCTGCTCTGTAAATATTTTCCACTCTGCACTGGTTTGGTGTGAAAATAAAGTCACCACAATTCATTTTTCCGACTGAGCCATCATTATTCCCATCATTTTTAAACGAACCTTCACAAAGGTCAGGTCTGGTTTAGGCCACAGGACCAAGGTCAGGTCTGGTTTAGGCCACAGAACCAGGGTCAGGTCTGGTTTAGGCCACAGGACCAAGGTCAGGTCTGGTTTAGGCCGCAGGACCAAGGTCAGGTCTGGTTTAGGCCACAGGACCAAGGTCAGGTCTGGTTTAGGCCACAGGACCAAGGTCAGGTCTGGTTTAGGCCACAGAACCAGGGTCAGGTCTGGTTTAGACCACAGAACCAGGGTCAGGTCTGGTTTTATCCACAGCTGGTGGAGCTGGTGTTTAATAAATCATGGCAAAGACAAAGAAACAAATATTCTGTTTCAAATGTATGAAACAATCGTTTAAGATAAGCTCAGTTTGTGCTGATTTTCATGAATTTAAATGTTTTTATTTGTAAAGTAAAACCATATTTTTCTGACACGTCGCACACGTTTCTGAGTTCAATTTCTGACCTGAGCAATATTCAAATACATTTTTCCAAGGCCCTGCTCCGCTGCTGATGAAGAAGGCACAAACACGCCACAATCTGAGTAAAACCAACTGTGTGTAAATGACAAGGGAAAACCACTGTGACATGGACAAAGTACTGTATTTACCATCTGCACTTTGGTATGTCGCCTTTAACGTAGCATTCACAGTCCCAAGATCACTTTAAATTAACCAATTAAGATACTTTATTACTTTAATATTTATCACTGGTTCATCTCCTCACATGAAGCATATTTGCCTGAAAGGTTCACTTGATTTAAGTAACATTCACAGGAGTATCTGTGAGTACCTGTGAGTACCTGTGAGTACTTGTGAATACCTGTGAGTACCTGTGAGTACCTGTGAGTACCTGGGAGTACCTGTGAATACCTGGGAGTACCTGTGAATACCTGGGAGTACCTGTGAATACCTGTGAGTACCTGTGAGTACCTGTGAGTACCTGTGAGTACCTGTGAATACCTGGGAGTACCTGTGAATACCTGTGAGTACCTGTGAGTACCTGGGAGTACTTGGGAGTACCTGGGAGTACCTGTGAAGGGCCACCACATTTTCTGTGTTCTGTTTTGTGCTTCTACAGTATTTCTTAAAGTAATTGTCATATGTTAAACGTGAAAGTGATACACCGGGTGTTTGAATTGTAGGAACCATTCTTTGCCCCTGGTTCTCGTACACAATCATTTCTTTATCCATTGTACATGTTTGTACTGTATACATTCCGGCAAGAAATGAATAAACATTCTAAAACATGAAATTGCTACAGTAACCCAAATAATGCATTCTTTATGTTCCTCAGCTCCATGATGAGGAACATCCTGGGTTGTATGACGGCGGTTTGCTCCACTTTGACCCACATCTCTTGCCCTACTTTTCAGCCATTCACATATGACGCTAACATGAAGAAAACTATTGTAGATAGCGGCACCTGTCGCTCGCCAAACTGTAAACATGGATTTTTTCAGTATTGTTGACACGCTCACGACACACACATTTCTTTCGTTTTTAATTAAGCACTCGTTCGACCTTGAAAGTGAAAAACAGTCTTTGTAAACCACTGAAGCATGCGGAACAAAAGCAAAAACAACCACGAGACTGACGCGCTTCGTCCAAGCTCTGGGTCTCCAAGATGGCTGCCCAGTCACATTACTGGGCTGTGCTCTGTGTCCTCATACTTAAATGAGTAAGAAAGGAATCTGTATTTATAAGCCGCCTTTCTCAAAGCGGTTTGTGGGCATTTGTCTCTCACTTAGTTTGGCTCCACTGGGACATGTGCAGTAGGTTTGCAGCAGTGTTACCTCCATGATGCTTTTGAGACATTTGAGAAAGTTGTAGGTTTGCATGTTTTTATTGCTGAATAACAGTTTGGCACTTTACAGCCACAGCTGCCCACTGTGGCGCCTGGTGTTCCCAGAGGTCTCCCATCACAGCACTACCAGTGTTGGGAAGAATACTTTGAAAATATGTTCTGTTTCAGAATACTGAATACATTACCTGTTACTGTATTCCCAAATGTTTTTGATTATACTTTTAATTACTATTTGTGAATTATTTATAATTATTGAAAATTAAAGTTCATAATATTTGAAATCAAAACCTCAATAAATAAATGAAACATGTTCTGTAATTATTCTAGAACTTGTTGCTTCCATTGAACAACCAGAAAGAATAGAATCTTCTTTCTATATATATTTTTTTTACCTTAAAATGTAACGTGAGAAAGTAATATAAAGTCTCTTTCTTCTTTCTCTTAAAGAGAAAGAAGATAAAGATAATATAAAGTCTAGTATTCTAAATACTAGACTTTAAAGTAGTAACTGTAAAGGATTACAGGGAGGTCCATGGTGCTCAGAGGACTTTCTTTTTTTTAAGACAACTGAAAAATAGAAGAGTTCACGACTCGACTCAAGAATGAAATGCTTTGATCCTTTTTTTTTCCACGTTGAGAAGCCGACACGGGTCCAAACGACACGGCACCTGTCCCTGGTTGACAGCACAGGTTTTCATGAAAACGACCAAAGATCGTGAAGCCGTCTGTTTAAACAGAACTTACTTTAGCGGTAATTAAAGATGTCTTTTAAAATCATCATTATTAGACTTGGTGGTATGATACAGTAACGATCATTCTAAGGGTAATTCATGTGAGTGGACACGGTTATAGAGACAGCATGTTGTTGACGTGCCCCTCCCCTCTCCTTCATGTACCCCATGGGGAGTGGGCTTGTGTCCATCACTCCCTTCCTGCAGTGACCTCATTCGGACCGGCCCGGTGCTAAGTGGTGGCACACTGACACACTGTCCTGGGGTGACAGTGTGGGGGAGGGGCCAGTCTTTGTGAAGACCTCTGACAAATAAAGGGATTGTGTTTGGGTGATTAACGGCTTGTATGCAGAGGAGAAAGTTTTTGAATGAACTAATTAAGATTATTTGATCAATTTTGACTGACCACCTACTCCGCAATAATTTAATTTGATCAAATACTGAGGCCACGTTCACACGGAGACTCTGCGACAGTAAAACAATAAAGTTGACAATAGGATTGGCCTTGAAAACAAACGTAAACAACAACGGCGTTGGATCAAATAATGCTGTGTGTGCTTCTAGCGTTACACGGAGGACCATTTCTACTGTTTTGTCTGTTGTGAAGTTGTAGTTGCAGTTTTCATTTTCGCTGCTACTGAGGAAGTAGTTCTACCGGTGGAGGTTGCATATGTTGCTTCGTAAAGTTCCACTGCCCACTACTGGCCGGGCATGGTAACTACATCGTTTTCAGTCGCACTTGGAATCTCGAGGTGGTTTTTCTGAATGGCTTAGCTTCGTCTCTCGTGTAAACAGGGTCTAAATAACAACCAGAGATAACAGTGTTTTTTGTCTCAATATAAAGTGTTACATCGTATAGCAAGTTAAACCATCTAAAACTCTGAAGCTGAATTCAAAAAGAGAAGGGTTTGGGACCCTGAAGCCTAGCGTACATCGACAGAGAAACTGGAGACAACTAGTTGCAAGGCGGCTTTTGGCAACTGAGAGTAGATGGTGGAGATGATCAGTTGCCGAAATCAGTCGATGTGAGCGCTCTTACAACTGGAGATAAACAGTCGGTCTCCAGTTTCAGTCAGTTGCCCGTGTTCTACTTTTCGGCAACTAGTTGTCCTCAGTTTCGGAGATATGACCCGATGTGCGCGCTCCATGCGCCGCTCCGACAACGTGTGTGTATTGCGAGCCCGCAACAGTTTATGTCAGAAAACACACTGTAGTTGAGGCCAGTTGCTGTCGATGTACGCGCTGTTATTCCCGAGACTGGCCTGCTACTGGGAGTTGCCCGTTTTCGTCAGATTGTCGATGTGTGCGGGGCAACAACTCATAATGCGACGGATATAATCAGTTGCCAGTCCGATGTACGCTAGGCTTAATGCTACTTTGCAGGTGGAATGTAACCATGGACTTCTTGTTTTGCCTGTCAATCCAGGATCCGGGATTGTCAAAGCCAAAATATGTCCTACTCCTGTTCCAGAAACAAACCAAAAAACAAAAAACACAAAACATTTGTTTTGACTTTGGTGCTTCATGCTTCAGAGGAGAGGACTCTTTGCGATCAATCACCACATATACCTTTTCTCATGAATAAAGCTAGTTAGCCAAGAGACAATTTTAAATCGAGCCATTTCACAGATATTACTAAAACACAGAAACGTGAACTTACACACAACATGAAATGCACAGGGACCCAAAGAGGAAGGACAATATGATCCACGTATTCGGAGCTGG